CTTGAGTGTTACTGACTTCTGGCTCATCAGGAAGACAAGTTGTCAGAGCCCTTGGTAACTGTGTACTTAGTTAATGCAAGACCTCCACTAATTATTCTGAGATAAATTTGTTCCCAGATTTGAAAGCAGGCTGAATGCAGCTCTGGTTTTCAGGCTTTGTGATTACTCTGATTCAGTTCTTTGAACTGTTTTTGATATATTTCATGACAGAAATCTTAGGCAGGAACACTTTGCGGTTATTATACATAAATATTAATTCTATACTTATCCTTTTGCTTAAATAACAGCTTTAAGAAGAGTACGACATTGCTAAGCTGTAACTTACTTATGATCATTGGATGATATGTTCATTATCACTGTGAGGAGATGTAGCACTTTCTATATAACAGAATAAATTGAGAGCAGAGTGCAGTAAGGGATACACAAATGAATTAAACATTTTTTAGAGTTCTGTCCAGCACTCTTGAGTAAGGGAAAAAGCAAACTTCATTCACAACAGTCTTGGTTTGTTTTGGTTTTCTTTCAGGTCTTCAATCATACTATCAGTGTACATGGAAACTTTTAAGTGTACGGGTGCATAGCCAGAGGATTGTACAATTTGCCATTAGTCCCACATAGTACATAAAATCAGAAACCAAAATACAACTTATGAGTTTGTGATTCTCTCTATTGTAGCTTTTTGGTTTCTTTTTTTCCAATGAGACTTCATGGACAATTTTGCATTTTTTTAGGCGAGTCAGAGAGCTGAACAGCAGCAACACAAAAAAGTTCCTGGAAGAGAGAAAAAGGGTAACTATAACCTTGACAAAGTCACTGGGCACTATTTCTGGATATTCATTTTCATTCCTCTGTGTTGAGAATCCAGCTCTAGTAAACAAAATCGTTTGTCCTTGCTGTGTTCCACACACTTGTAGTGTAAAAGATCTAGCATCTATATAAAAGAAAGCTATTTTAAATTAACAAAATTACTATTTATTGTTGTGTATTGGCTGCTTTTATGTAATATATATAATATAAATATTATATTAAGAGCTCTTCTTAAGATTGGGTGATATAATAGACCTCCTGTGCCATCCAGATGGGGCAACACAGTGTGTGTATATCTATATATATCAAGAAAGTTTTTAGTTCATTTGTTAATAATGTAGTACATTTTCTCCCCATTATTTTCTCTTACAGCTGGCAATGAAGCAGTCAAAGGAAATGGATCAGTTGAAAAAAGTTCAACTTGAGCATTTAGAAGTCTTGGAGAAACAGAATGAGCAGGTATCTTATTTTAAAGGCTTAAAAGAAAAGCAAGCTAGTGAAAACAGTAACCAGAATCAGGCTGAGTAGAATGCTTCTAAATGTAAGCCATTACCAGACATGGGAAAATGACCTTGTTTGTGGTCAGTCTCCTGCTTGGGAAGTTAAAATGAAGAGGTGAAGTGACTTAAATGATACAGAACCACATTTGTTTCAGATAAGCATGTGAAAGCTAGACTGCTTAGCCAGCATCTGTCCTTTCAGGTGTTCAGCCATATTGATACTCGTTTGCTAGATATGACAGTCAAAAGGCCCAGCATATCAATTTTAATTACTCCCAAACAGTACCTCAAGCGAATCTGATTCCTCCATTTTGGAACTTAATTTCTAGCACCAATTGGAAAATAGACATGAAACATGTGCACAGAGCATCTCTGAACTCTGAAAGACAGTTTGGACTGAATTCTAGAGATGTGTAGTAGCATGGGGAGTTTTATCTGTACTAGTACACCCTTTCCTAATTAAAATACCTTATTATTTTCTGCTAGTTTATAAGCTCTTTTTTTTTTTTAACTTAAAAAACTACTTGGCAAGGAAAGGAAAATTCTAATCTTATTTCTGATAGAAGCAGTGCTCCATTCTAAACTGTTCCCTTGCTTGAGCCAGTAGAGTTGTAATGATTGCATGGACTTGTAGTACTGCAAGAGGAATATACGCAGCAGTTGAGTGGGATGTGAGAGAAGGAGTGCATTTAATACCCATTACTTTCAAGGGTTATGTACTTCTTTGTTATTAAATGTTCAGAACTTGAACTGTCTGGCAGACATAATCTGAATTAAAACCATCTTGCAGAGTCGGAGAGAAGAGCATGCAAATCAAGTATTTCTGCTGTCAGGAGAGAGTCCTACAACCCCAAAAGCTGCAGCCTGGTGACCTTCTAGGGGGGTGACAGCATGTAGGATCACAGACAGCTGCTGCCACCAAGCCCCAGCCACCATGGCTCTGATTGCTCCGCCTCCCTTCTAGACAACAACCAAAATTCCTAGTCTGTTCCCTCACAGGGTTTCTGTAGATGCTGTCTCTAACATCCAGCGTGAATGGATCTGTCAGTCTGTTGCTCCTGAGCAATATCTGCACATAATCAAAAGGTGGGGGAGGTAGGCATCCAGGGCAGGCAGTTTGGCTACAGTGGATCTGTAGCATGACTGTGGAAAGCGCCACAAGAGAGCTTCCTGTAAACTGTGCTGGTTGACTAAAAATCACGGGCTTGATCCAGAGATAGGTGTTACCAATCAGTAGTTTGTTTCCATTGACTTCAGAGGGCTTTGGATCAATTTTTTTAAAAAACATAAGTACAAGTGGGAATAATTGTCATTGTGCTTTTAACGACAATGCTATAAACACATTAGCTATAAGGGAAGAAGGCTACTGGGAAATAATTGTGAGTCATTAAAAGAGTCACCCTTCAGAAATTAGATACTTCCCTCACCTGGGGTTACAGCTTCCACTACTGAGAGCTAGTAACAGCCTACATGAGCTTACTTACAGACCATTTCAGTGCAGAGATGAAGACACTTTAAATCATCACTGATTAAATGAAATAATTTACATGCTGGTTATCACTTTTGTGGGGGCATATGGTGGCATCCACCACAGGGGTAGTCCTTAACAGCTTTTTAACTCACTCTAATTTGATCCATCAGAGTATATATTTTTGTACCTGCTACTTTGACCACTTCTTTTCAGGCCCAAAAGTGCATTAGTGCAAACCCCAACTGGGTCTGGTTTCGTCGTTACACACATTGATGTAAGAAAGCTAGTTGGATTGATACTTGTTTAATGAGACTTTCAAAACATGGTAATTTTTTCCTGTTTAAACAAGAGAATAAATTTTTCATACAAATATACAAAGTAGAAAAGTAGAATTATGGGTCGAAACAGCTTTCAATGCAAATGGTTATGAATTTAAATTTGTTTTAGTTTACGTATGTTTTTCTTGCATTAATTTCTCAATCTCACTTCAGTTTTCATTCATTTAATTTGCTTCTTGTATTACTCAATTTTGACATTATTATTTTTGTACAAACAGCTTTTGAAATCCTGTCATGCAGTGTCTCAAACACAAGGTAGGATGGACGTATAATAAGCAAACTATTACTTTGGTGTGCTTTCCTTCTAAATTAAATCATTATCATTGGAGCCCTCCTTGTAAATGTAACCATCGGGGAAGTACCATTGACATAGTGAACACAGTGTTAATCTTGTTTGCACACAGATATTTGAGCCTGACACAACATTAACAGTATTTTGTGCTTTAGCATCTGAAATTCAGATGAAGATGAACAGTGATGTGCAGAGAAAATATTCAGGGATTAACTTGTATTAACATTAGCTGTCGTTACTGAGAGAAGTGTCTATTGAGCCAAAAAGACTATTTTAGTGTTAACATATATATGATTAACTTAATGCTGATAGTCAGACAAAGGTTATCCACATATATTAGTATGGTAAAAAAACCAAGTGATTCCACTCTAAAAATAGCAAAATATAGACTAGTTGGCTAGAAATAGCTTTTTAGTGTCTAAAGAAGAGAGGCTTCCAGTGCTTTAAAATTCACTTAAAAATCCAATGCGTTACAAGGTGTGGCAGTTATACTCACCATGTGGCTGTGCTGCTGTGGCTTCCTAAGTAATCGTTACTCACCAGAAATCTCTATTAACTCCTGTCTTGCCAAGAGAAATAGTTGTATTAGGCTTGAACATCCAGTTGTGCAGTATTGCCTGATTTGAATTACTTTCTTGAGTTGGTAACATCTTGTACCACTGAGTCTGACAGCACCCACTTTAGCAACATTTATTTATGGACATATAATGAGGAAAAAGATCATTCATTAGGCTAGGAAAAAATATTTTTATTCTTCTTTTACTGAATGTGGTTCTTAGCTGGTCCTAGATCTCACTAGAGAGCAAGCATCTTGAAAGCAGAGTCCATTAGCTGCCACTCACTTCATGAATTCACTGCAGCTTCAATGCTGCCTTCCAGAAGGCTCGTCTTCAAGTGTTGTGCTTGTGTGTTCACATCAGAATGCACTGTCTGAATCAGCCTCAGCCTAGCAGAAACGAGCATCCTGGTCCTATGCTAATGTGTTCTTTGAAGCCAAGTTATCTCTAAAATAATTCCATACGCCATATATTGGCATGCAGAATATTTATAGGACACTATGTGCCAGTAGTTCAGTCACAAGCTTAAAATGTGAAATGTGTGAGTCACTAAGAAACAGAGGGTTTTGTTTTATCTGGAATTTCATTTCACACACAGGTGCAAAATCCAGCCAACATTTCAGAAGAGGTTGTACATACTGATTTATTTATTATGTTTCCATATTTTCATGTTAAAATCATTTCTTCATTACTTTCAAGCTTTTAACTCATTTAAATGGAGAGCGTGATTAATTTTTAATCATATTTATGACAGTTCCTTTGCTATTATCATAATTACTTTTTTTCCCCAACATTATGATGATGATTATGAAAGTACAGGGCTAGATTTTTCAAGAAGGCACATATATCACATCTGCACAACCTCACATCTACCTTGCAAAATGAATAGCTGTGCATCTCATTACTTTAGATCTACATCTGCCAGTTTTCACATACACAAGGATGTGTTTGCACATCCAGAATAGGTGACTTCTTAAGCAGCAGCTTGTATAACAAAGTTCTCTGTCTAAGCAACGTTTACAACTATTGGGGAAACATACTTCATGTAAATCAAGTCCAGGAACTGTTACTCCCTGCATGACAAACACAAAGCAGTTACACCAAAGAAAACAGTGGCTTGGTTTGCCTCTTCCTAAACCTGTCGTAATCCTTGGGAGCTTGTTTGTAAAGATACATGGGTTAGCTTGCCCTCTTGGTCAACTTATGTAGAGTCCTTTCAGGTACGGTTTTAAATAACTTCCCACATTGAGAACCCTCAGAGAAAATCTCTGATGGTGACTCCAAGTTCCCTTAAACTGCAGAGTTTCAAACCAAAGCACGACTCCTAACTTGTAACTGAGCCATGGGAGGAGTAAGTGTGCATGTCTGTGTGTGAGAGAGAGAAAGGGAGGGATAGGAAGGGAATTAAAAAAGCTTTCTCTAAGCAGAGGATTCCTAGGCCAGTTACCATTTATATACAGTGCTTTAACTCTGCTTAGTAAGCCTGAGGCATTCAGAGTTTCTAGTGAGATCTGGCATACATTCATTGCTGCATTTTGCACGATGCATTTGGATACAGTTTCAGGTGGATGCAGTGTGTAATCCCATGTAACATATAGTCTAAAACTGAGGTCAAAAACATCATGTCTATAATCGTAAATATCTCTAGGCTAGATGGAGATTATTAAAAAAAATAATTAAAAAATATTGCCTTCTACAAGGAAGATGTTACACTGATGGATTTTTGTCATTCGTTGTCTTTATGAAAGACACGAGTCACGACTATAGATAAACTCTAACCATTTCAGGAAATAAGATGTCAACAATACTCACACAACAGCAGTGAAGCATACATTCCCAAAGAGGTTTCTTCTCAGGAGAAACAGTCAAATCAGCACCTGCCTAGTTTTCTTCCCCAGAATTAGAGCTTCTGCATTTTACCATACACTCCTTCAGAAAGTCAACCCATGAGTCTTGGAATAGGGTCAAAAATAATTCCCAAGAATTTGTAGACATAAGATTACAACTGGTTTTGAAAACAGATATGTCACTGGGGGAGGGAGGGCAAGCATAATGTTATTACATATATCTTCAGTGTGTTTTGCCTGTATTTCACTCAGACACTATCATATAAAACATGTGCTTCATTTTGAACAAAAGGTCTAATGCAATGCTTCATGAGGTTATTTTGGATTGCAGGCAAAGGAGATGCAGCAGATGGTGAAGCTGGAAGCAGAGATGGATCGCAGACCAGCAACAGTAGTCTAAAACCTCAACAAGCAAACTGAAGTTGGAGAACACAGCATCCTTAAAATGAGAGCAAAATTCAAAATAACACTGCTGAGGTTGAAAAGTGGGGAGTTTTTTGTTTGGTTGGTTTTGGGGTTTTTTTGGGGGGTGGGTTGGGTTTTTTTGTTTTTAATATATAAAGTGTAGCTACGGACCACGAAGTCTTAAGGTTTGCATTATTTGTTTTTTTAACACTGGGCACTGAATTTCTTTTGCTGGATTTCCATGTTAAGAACTTCCTCTGTTCAGAAAAAAAAGCTAATCGGAAGACGAAGACAGTTTCTAAACCCAGTCCTGTATTCCTTTCTGTATCTCAACAGGCAGCTTGCCTGCATCAGAATTACACAATCAGAACCTTGAAATACAACAGGTATTTTTAATATCATCTCAAATGGCAACAAAACTGTAGTCAAGCCATGTTATTTACCATTTGTGTTCTCATGATATATTGTGCAGAAACCCCATGCTGCCAAATCCTGACAAGCAACAACTTGGCACCTGAGGTAATCGAGCCCACTGAACCAGATCTTATGCTAAGTCACCATAATAATCAGTACAGTAAGGAGCTGAGTTTGGGCATTTTTAATTTCTATTTCAAAGTATTCTTCAGGCAGCAGACAGTAGGCAGTTGAAAGTTAACTGCATATATTCAAAAGTACAGTATGTACAAAGTCATCAGCCAAATTCATCAACTGTAACAGTAACTTGACAGGATACTTCTGCAGTCCAATAATGTCATTCACAAGTGCCATATAAATTCTTATCATGTCTGAAGGAAGCTGATATCCTGTAAAAGTTACTGCAATGGTTAGCGTGAGGGAAATACAGTGTATTTGTGCCAAAACTGATCAGTGCTCTAAGGAATTACATATTCGGCACTTTAAGAAAAGTTTACATCCTACATTGCTTGTATAGAATTTGCATTTTGATCCTGTTGCTGCAGATCTCAGATACTACAGTTCCCTGTAACTTAAAGATTGTTTAAATGGCTTTTGGCAAAAAGTTTGTTACTGTGAAAATGTAAAAAGTATTTATACACTTCAGAATCACAGCATTGTAGAAAATCACATACATGTTGCCACGTGATAAAACTAGTAAATGCTAAGAGTATGTTTGCATGTGATACAAATGCTACTAAGACTGTAGTGCCTACTATATGACCACAGTCATTCTACTAGCTGGTAAATACTGAATAAATGTATGGCACAGAATATTGTTTGATTAATTACAAAGACACTTAGCATAACAAGGTCTCTCTATATATGTGTGTATATTAATTATGTGGGCATTCTTGATACTTGTAGTAAAAGAGAAGTACATAACTAATTTAATTTTACACAGAAGTATTTATGCAGATTTTCAGAATTTCATATCAGGAATAACCTTTTTATGTCCATTAGATATAAAACCAATTTGCTAATGTGTTAATTTGCATGTTTCCAGCGCTTGCTGTAGTTATATTGCAAAACAATGCATGTAAGCGTTCCACTTGGAATTTGTCCATGCTGCCAATTCAAAGATGACTGCATGGAGAACTGGTAGTTTAGAACAAATCAGATTCCTGATTTCAATGTACTAAGCACCACTTACTTTGTTGTATATGCTTGTACAAACAAATTCTACATATTCCTATAAACAAAATAAATGAAAAGAGATAATTATGTTATTGTCGGTCCTGAGATGAAACGTTCAACTTCTCTAATAAAAATATTAAAAATTCAAAACCATTACTTTTGACTGTAGTGAGTTGCAGGGCAATGGTATTATTACTTACAAGTTTTTAGTAAGTTGTATGTCCTGTAAAAATGTGCATAGTGTAAATATATTTCTATCACAGCTTATTTATTCAAAAGAGTCTTATTTCTTTTAAGTGATAGATGAAGCAGGCAGCATCAGTCCTTGCAGCACTACAGAACTACCCGAGTACAGTATAGCAGCACTACCTTGAGAATACAGCCGAGACAGAGGTCAGTGAAGTGTTTAAGGCAGTATTTATTGAAACATGTGATGGCTATTCAGAATTCCCATTCTGATGTCACTTAACCTACAGAGGCACCTCCTGCTCCTTATGATCCATAGTGTTTTAAAGAGAAGTTGCATACTGCGAGCAGCTCTCACTGCTCTCTAAGCTTGGCTTGAGTGCTGGAGGAAGCTGGGAGCAGCAGTGTTTTCAGAGCATGCCAGACAAGATCTGGCATCTCAAACAAGGCAGTGATATTTTTAATTCTTTTTTTTTTAATTAAAAATGTCTTCTAAAACAGCTGGCGGAGACAGTGCTATACTTTTGCCTATGATAGTAGTTTCTAGCCCATACGGAGAAGCAAATGACAGACCAGATACTGAAGGAACTGGATCGTGAAGCATTGAACGTTACTAGTTTTCTTAGGTTCACGTACAGGCTGGAAAGCACTGCCCTATCTGTTAAAGAAATAAATCGAAATGGAGGACTTGGGTTCAGCTTACATCCCTCTCTGAGGAGAATCAAACCTGTGTGTCTTAATTCCCTGGCAAGTATCCTATGCATCAGGGAATACACTGACTTTGGAAGGCTAAAAAAAATACCATCTGCAGCCTCCTTTTGTGCCTGTGCTCGCTGCTTAGCCAGGAGCAAGACATTTATCAAGTCAGAGACGCAGTATGTTGCTGTGAAACGACTGAGCTAGGTAGCCTCAGCTTCCAGGCTCCCAGAACTGTTACGTGTTTAATCCATTAACAATTTAGCATAAAATGCAGACAGTAATTGAAATTAAGTGATTAATTTTGTCAGCTAAGTATTTTGAAATACTGTTTAAGTAGTATTTGATTCGAAAATTATTTGAAGTTTGGCCGCTAATGTAACGAGGTGAGAATTTCCATTGAGATGAAATAGGCTAATCAATTTGAACACTGATACTGAGTTAAAGCAGTTTAAAATGTCATTCCCTGCCGAGGTGATGAATTCCACTTCAGTGAAATTTCATCGAAGAAAGTGACAGATTCTCCCTTTCTGAATCTCTTCAGATAAATTCAGCACAGCTGTGATGGGGAGGGGCATGACACCCTGGCCTCACAGGCAGCCTGTATTCCTTCACTTCCAGTAATTTGGGGGTTGGCCATTGACTGCTTCCAAGTGGGGATCTGTTTAACCCAAAATACCCCTTGGGGGCTGATTTCCTTGCACACTCCACATGCCGTTGCCCACTGGCTGCCTGTGAAACCAGCTGCCAATGGCAGACACATCCCAGAGCCGCTTGGCCAGAAAACCCTGCTCCCAGGGATGTGCCAGCAGTCCCAGCACTGCTGCCACCATACTGCATGCTCCTTGCAAGGAGGCTGGGAAGAGTTACTGCTGTCTGGTGGATGTGGGGCAGTCAGGGGGATTCAGCCTTTGGCAGTCTCAACACCTGGGGGTAAGGGCAGGCCGCATGGCTGGCTCTAGGTAATCCAATCTGTGACCATAAATTGGCTCTGGTCACAGCATTTCAGGTCAGCTAAGGCTGCACTGGCTCCCTCAGGTGAGACTTTTCTGCTCTGTCAATGTTTTGGGGCTTGCTTAGTGTTAGGAAATCTTAGGCCTTTCTGGTTTTTTTTGCCCCAGAGAGCGGGATAAACATGGCTCTGCAGGCTGGAAGCAGGGATTGTCACTGAAGCTGAAGGCTTTTTTGTTGTGCTGTGCAGCTGGCAGGTGCTGGGAGAGCATGATTCTGTGCCATGGGGCTGAGAGGGCTGCAGGTCAGGCTTGCCCATGTCTCTAACACAGCTGCTATCACCCAGCTGCTCCCTGTGGTCCACTCCTACACAGCCTGGATGCAGGGGCAGCTGCTCAGGATCATGTATTTATTTGGAGGCTTAGAAGCTACCTAGAAACCTCAAAAAAATGGAAATTAAATACGAGGCTAGAGAAGCAAATAGAGACTAGTTAAATACTGGGGTCATCAGTGAAAGACTTGAGGAACCCTGTCATTAAAGTGACCACAGAAATACAGTCTGTTGCAGTCAAAAAGCCTCTTTTTTTTTTTTTCTTTTGTATAGTCCCCTGAAACTATTATCTGCAGGTTAATCTTGTATCACGACTGACACAGGTCTAACTATTCTGGGGGCAAGAACGACTCTTATCATGAAGCAGGAGATAAAGGAAATGACCAGAATATAATATTTAATACATACAGCAAGCTGAAAAGGAATTTCAACAGAATAGTTACAGAAATCAGTATGTTCCTTCACTATCTGCTTTTATCTTCAAAGAGTATTTCCCAGCAAGAAAACCCTTCTCTGCAGATGTGCCCTGGCAGAGAAAGGGCAGCTTCCTAGAGGCAGCTGCTCACAATCAGAACTCACCTTGTATACTTTGCTTTGCAAAACCCTGGACCATTTCCTCCAGACTCCTTTTCCTGAACTAGAAATGCGAGCTGCTAGAGAATCCGCGTAACACCATATGCACCAAATAGCTGCTGTCCCTTTGATTAAAAAAAAAAAAAAAAAAAAAATTAAAAGAAAAATCCTTGGTTAGCAGGCTCCTGTTCCCCGCTGCTCCCGGGACTTGTGTTGCTTCAAATTGTAAATATTCGGATATGCTCTTCGTATAGGTCGAGGGTTGCAGTGCATTAAAGGACCGTAAAAACTCCCGATGAGAGGAAGGGAAAAAAGATATTTTAACGTCGCATCGCCCAGCAAAAGGGAAAAGCGAAACCCCACCGCCGCGGGGTGCTGGCCGGGCTCGGCGGGGAGGGCCGGTGGGGCAGGTGCGCGCAAAGCTCGGTCTGGGATCCCGCTAGAAGTGCACGCTGCTTCCCAACCGCCTCCTCTGGGGAAACCAGCCGCTCACTCGGGCGCTTTGTGCTGGGAACACGCCTGCTCCTCCCCGGAGACCCCTCTGCCAAGTCGGAGGGGTAAATGGGGGCGCATTTCACTCCCCCCTGGCCTGGAGAGGGAAGAAACACAGGTGCTGGTTTTACGGGGAATACAGGGGGTTGTCTAGTTCAGGACTCCGGCAGCACCGCGCACCAGGAGCGGGCAGGGTGCAGGCAACCTTCCCTGCCCTCCGCTCCTCTCCCCAGGTTGAGGTGTGCGCAGCTTTTGTTCATCCCGCCTTACAGCCCCTTCTTCCCTGAGCACTCTCAGTGCCCGGCATCCCGTCCCCTTCAGCCTGCAGGGAAAAACTCTTCTCGGCGTCCCGGCACAGCTCGTCTTCTCCTTTTTCCACCTTCCCCCATAATGCTCCGCATAGGCACGGCCTGAGTTTTGTTTTAGTGCACATTGTCAGGGCTGAAGGGTCCACTCCCCTTGTTACATGATGATATGCTTTATGTCACGGTATGCTTTATGGTATGTCACGACACCTTAATTGCTCAGGTGTGTTGATGGCCGTTAACAAAAGGGTGCTGGCTTTACTTCTGACCTTGCCACACAAAAATAGCTGCACGTTTCTTTCTAAATTAACATACGAAGCAGCTGTTCGCCTTCATCGAAATTACTGCCGCTCCGTGAGCAGCCGGCCCTGGACTAGATAACCCTTCCTCCCTCTTTTCCTTCTTACTGTCCCGGCTTACCGGTTCGGTTGTGGTGCTGGCCCTGCCTGGGGACAGTGCCTGTCCCGCAGGAGCAGCCTCCTGCCGCAGCACCGAAAGGGAAGGGTGGGTGGGCGGCAGGACTCCTAGGGAAGGCGGACACAGTCCCGCTTCCACCCCCTGCCCTGCCCTGGGGGGTGCTCGCCGCTGTTCAGCCCCGCTGCAGCGGCATGTCGGGGCGGCCCAGGTTCCCCGGCTCTCTCCTCCGAGGTCCCCGCTTTCCGCCGGGATCCCCAGGGGGATCCCCGAAAGCCCCTCCGCGGGGTCCCCCAGGCCGGAGGAGGGAGGGAATCCCTCCTCCCCACTCTTGCCTCCGAGTACGCCCGTCCCTTGGCGTGGGCGCCTCTATCAGCTTCACCGGCATCTCCCCTCCTCCTCCTCCTCCTCCTCCACACCGCCCCACTCTTTTCCCCGTCCCTCCACA